ATCTGAGTGCCAATTGGGACATCTTCTCACACGATCTGATTGACGAGTTATTGGAGCTTCAGAACTCTCTAGTTCTTGTTCATCATGAGCTGGTTCTGCTTCAGAAGAATCTCCTTGTTCAACCTCCTTTTCCACATGTATATGAGTAATCTCTGACTTTTCAGCGCTAGCATCGTCTTCTTTTCTTTGTAGCTTATCTTCTACAAAGATAACATCCCTGCTAATGATCACTTTGCGGGCAGTGGGATCCCACAAGCGATACCCCTTTACTCCATCAGCATACCCCAAGAATTTGCATTTCCTGGATTTTGGATCCAACTTCGAAATTTCTTGGGAGTTGTACATCACGTACACAATACTTCCAAATACATGGAGGTTTGAATAATCAGCTGGTTTACCAGTCCACATCTCCATTGGTGTCTTCAGCTCTATTGCAGTTGATGGAGCTCGATTCACCAAATAACAGGCGGTATTGACTGCTTCTGCCCAGAATGATTTTTATAGGCCTGCATCCCTCAACATTGCTCGTGTTCTTTCTAACAAGGTTCTGTTCATCCGCTCTGCCACTCCATTTTGTTGAGGAGTGTTCGCCACTGTGAACTGTCTTTTGATGCCTTCTCTCTTGCAAAAGTCATCAAATTCTTCGCTTGTGTATTCTCCTCCATTATCTGTTTTGAAACACTTGATCTTATTTCCAGAATCAAGTTCCACCCGCGCTTTAAAGTTTTTGAAAGTTGCAAACACATCTGACTTCTTCTTAATAGGGTACACCCAACATCTCCTGGAGTAGTCATCAATAAATGAGACAAAGTATTTTGCTCTGCCTAGGGATGTGACCGGTGCTTGCCATACGTCAGAGTGAACCAATTCTAGAACACTTTTGCCTCTAGAATTTGATGTGTTGAATTTCAATCGGTGTTGCTTACTTGTTATACAATGCTCACACAAAGGAAGTGATACCTTTGTTAAGCTGGGAAGTAGCTTTTGCTCCACAAGGACTTTCATTCCTTGTTCTGACATGTGTCCAAGTTTCTTATGCCATAACATTGCAGAATCTGAACTACATGAGGCAACAGAGGCTTCTGCTTCTAGCAAAGTCTCTCCCTTCAGCATGTACAAGTTTGCAACTATCTTTTCGCCTTTCAGCACCACAAGCGCTCCACGGAACACCTTCATGATTCCTTTCTGTGTTTCAATCTTGCTTGCATTATTATCCAACAATCCGTAGGATAATAAATTTTTCTTCAGGCCTTTCACGTGCCGTACATCTCGAACAACTTTAATTGTTCCATCATACATCTTCAATTTGATGGTTCCCACGCCAACGATATCTAAGGCATGATCATTGCAACTATAGACAGATCCTCCTGAGATAGGTTCATAATGATGGAACCATTCTCTTCTTGAGGTCATGTGATATGTTGCTCCTGAATCAATGAGCCATATATCTGCAAATCTTTTTCTGCCTTCCACGGTAGTTGACGCTTCACAGCATAGAGCATCTCCATCATCTGAAGTGTTTGCGGTATTGCCTTGTGGATTGGAGTTTTTATTGAGACTCCAACAATCCTTCTTCAAGTGACCCTTCTTTCCACAGTGGTAGTACTTTAAATTCTTTTTGCTTCTGGACTTCGATCTACCATGTTTATGACTGCTGCTTTGGCCACATTCTGTTGATCTCCCTCTCGTCGTTGTCAACGCTTCTGCTTGTTGCAGATTTACTTGTTTGTCTTCCTTGTTCTTGCGCCGATTTTCTTCTTGTAGAACAGCACTGCAACGTCATCGAGACTAGACTGGTGACATTACTATTTGTCAAGTTGATGATGAGTTGATCATACAAATCCGGTAGACTTTGAAGTAGAAGTTCAGCACGTTCTTGTTCTCCTATTTTACAGCTTAAGGATGTAAGCTGAGAAAAATAAGGTGTTCAGTGTATTTAAGTGCTCTGTCACTGAAGTAGATTCTGACATACGGAGAGTGTACAATTTCCTTTTAAGGAAAATTTTATTGTGCAACGATGTGGCCTCGTACAATTTGGTGAGATGATCACATATCTCCTTAGCTGTCTTCTTCTCCTCGATGCTTGACAATACTTCATCTGCTAATGCTAGATGAAAGTTTGCCATAGCATTTCCGTCCATCTCGTTCCATTTATTGTCATCTGCGAAATCCACCGGCCTTTCATTGATAGCCGCTAGACACCCGTCTTTCCTCAGGATGGCCTTCATCTTCAATTTCCACAGTGAGAAATTTCTCCCATTGAATTTTTCAATATCAAATTTCGTTGTCATAGCTTCTATTACGGATAGCTCCCACTATTTCACAATCGTGAATAGTTCTCTGGAACCTTCAAAGAATGGGTAATACCTTCTTACTTTCTTATGTTAGAGGATCCACCTTTTGGTGGCAACCACAAAGACAATAAGCAGATATTACACACTCTAATCTAGCTCGGATACCAATTGTTGCGGAAGACGGCTATCGGATAGAGCAAATTCACAACTGATAATTTGAGAAAATAAAAATAAAGATAAAAGAGACACAAAATTTACGTGGAAAACCCCTAAATAATATAGGGTAAAAACCACGGGCAACGGTAGAAGAATTTCACTATGAGAAAATAGGAATTACAACTTCTCTCTATCTACCAAGGAGAAAACAATGATAATTCTCTCTTGATAAAAAGGAGAAAACAACTCTCAAGAAACTCTCTAAATTCTCTAGTATTGGAAGAAAGCTAGAATGCTTTGAGATGATTTGAAGCTAAATGAGCTAGGGTATTTATAGTTGAAACCTAAGGGCTAATCTTGTAAATACCCTAAAGTACAATGATTAAATGTTGTAATTATCCCTTGCATAATTCAACAAAAATAATAATAAAAAAACAAAAAATCAGCAACCTAGCAGCCGACTGCTTTTGATTTTTCCACAGTCCCTAGAGAATACATTAAGAGTTTCTAAAGTGGGTTCGGTTCGAGGCGACACGAGTACTTTCCCGGCTATTGCTCCCACCTTCTCTGGGAAATTGGAAACCCTCTACAGATCTTTCCATGGATTCTCGTGACCTCCTTTGCCCAGAAATGCCCTCCTTTCTTCGCTTTATGTTCTTCAATGCCCCCATCCTATATTATATGCTCTTATTCAGATCCATATTCAATTCTTTAAAAAAAACGACAATGGACATGCATGAAGAATTTGTGGTTAATATTGCACATCCATTCGATCATAACTTACAGTTTTCATCGTAGTTTAATTAATATTATTAGCATTTATTGAATCTGAATTCTAATAAACATTATACAAACGTGTAAAATTAATGTTGATGTAAATTTTCTAATTCGTTTAACCAGCTGGAAAAAGGTGGGGGAAGACTGGTCCTCTCGTAAATTTTAATTATTTATTTATTTGTCTCTACTGGAAAATTAATTATTTAGTGTAAAAAAAGTAGGAAATGATCATTAAAGAATGGTCAAAGTTTTGCTGGTAGTAAGAGTATGTTTATTTGTGCAAGCATGCAAACGAATAATTGGTCCATCTGTCTGCTGAGTCTGAACCCCTTTGAAAACTAAAGGCCGCAATGAAATTAAACTATAGAACTTTAGAAATAATAATAATTAATTATGAAATGGAAATTATAAGAATATAGGTCAAATTCCTATGAGGTTTGGGGCACCAATATCTGAACGTGACTCTCACTTCATGTAATTCATTTACGTGGCTGATTATTATTGTTGTCACCACAGATCGTTTGGACAAGCCTAGAGTGGCCGACCTTTGTTGTTTCGATAAACGTTTATACACGTGGAACTAATATCATTTTATATTAGCTTCATGAATCTGAATAAAATAGTTTAAAATTTTAAAATTAAAATAATCAAATAGTTTATGGTTGGGGTAATTGGATGACAGAATACGATTAATATTTTAATCCATGTTATTGTTAACCTTTTGACGGGGTGCGGAAACCGATTAGGCAGTCAACAGAGCTCTACTTGGGAAACCAAAACCAAATCCTTCAATTAAATCTTCCTTTACTTTTGAGTTTCAACGTCCTTCATTATTATTAATGAATTACTTTCCAAATTTTTTTTTTAAAATAACCCATTTAATAATAAAACTTGAAACCACATATAGTTTACGTTGTATAAATTCATACACGATCAACGACCTATACACGTTACTCTTTTAATAAATGGGATGGGGTACTTTAAATATTAAATATGTCGGATATTTTGGGATAGAATAATGCATGTCCGTACACAGAACGAGGTGAACTCGGGGATCTACAACAAAATTTGGATAGCTTTTAGTGAGGAAAAACAGTGGGAAATTAGGCTGATCTATTTTGAAATTGCACCAGAGAGAGACAAAGAGAGAAGTTAGCTTTACGCAGAGTGGTCAATGTATTGAATTTAGACTATGAGATGATTTGCAGAGTGTGGGAATGCTGGGCTTTCGGGAGTCATGCATTGCTTCCTTCGAGGTCCCCGAGAGTTCCAATAAACCCTAGTGGGGCATTCAAAGATTAAAGTATATATATCAAAGTTTTTATAACTGGATTTTTCCTAGTTGGAATTGTGGGTTTGTCTTGCTACAAACACACTGATTATTTATGTACAATTAGCCCTATCATGTTAATTGTTGGGAACTTGACCCTTGCAAAACGGGTCACTTAACAAAAATAACTCTCCTTTAATATACTCGTATATATATATATATATACTGTATCTTTCTTCTTCTTTCAGTCTCTTTATCTTCTCTCTTGTTTAGTTTCATTGTAAAATATCTTCTCTTGCCACCATAAAGAGGTTTAACCAAGAACGAAACTAAGAGAGAGAAGGGTGAATCAACAAAGCTCAAACCCTAGTCAGTGGTCACTTTGGCACTATCTAACTCTAGGTATTTGAAAAAGTTTTTCTTTTTATCATTTCTGTTGTTGATTGTCACTTGATCATCTTGTGTTTGATAGTCTTTCTTTTTCCGCTTGTTGCAGTAGAGTTTGATTTGTTGGAGGGTTGCTAAAGCACAGTTTTTGATTTGGAGTTAGGAGTTTGGAATATATGATATTATGGGTTCCATGAATTCAAATAACTGGCTTTCATTTCCGCTTTCTCCCACTAATTCTTCACTGCCACGCATTTGCACTCGTCTCAGCCTCATCAGCAGTTCAATCTAGGTTTAGTGAATGATACCATGGAGAATCCGTTTCAAATTCAAGGTATCATCACGTATTTCTCTCTCTCTCTCTAGTTCTTGTATTTTTAATCTAACTCCTCGTTTTCTGGATATTTTGACAGAATGGAACCTGATAAACACCCATGAAAATACAAGTACTGAAGTTCCAAAGGTTGCAGATTTCCTCGGAGTTTCGAAATCCGAAAGCCCGTCGTTAGATCTCCTGGCATTCAACGAACTTCGTCAATCCAGTGATTCTGACTATTCATTTCAACCTAACAACATCGTCCAAGTGCAGAACACAACTCTAATACCCGCTGCTGAGTTCCAAGAAAGTGCTAACAATTTGCAGTCACTGACATTATCCATGGGCAGTGGCAAGGGCTCAACCAGCGAAACCAGCGCCGATAACAGCACCAATATCGTCGAGGCTCCCCCGAGAAGGACGTTGGACACTTTTGGCCAAAGAACATCCATATACCGTGGCGTCACAAGGTGAGCTATCTTTCGGATCAGTTTCAATAAAAACTAAGTAATAATTTGGATAAATAAATAATTAAAGTCGGTGCAATTACAGGCATAGATGGACCGGAAGATATGAAGCTCATCTTTGGGATAATAGTTGTAGGAGAGAAGGACAATCAAGGAAAGGAAGACAAGGTAGAGTTTGAGCTTCTTCTAGGATTTCATTTCAAGTGAAAATTCCAATCTTTTGCTAACCCATTTCTCTATTCTATTTTCTTTTTCATGGTTACCTTGATGACTTTGCATCATTAACACACCAGTATACCTGGGTGAGTACAGTTATTCAACCAGTACATACATACATACATATATATGCTTTCGTTAAATATTGTAAACCATGTCGAGCAGGTGGGTATGATAAAGAAGAGAAAGCAGCTAGGGCTTATGATCTTGCTGCACTCAAATACTGGGGAACATCCACCACCACTAATTTCCTGGTATAAACATAATTAAGAGATGTAATGCAACTAAAGTTCAATCTCCATTTTTAAATTGTGATTTTTCTTCTTGTGCGTTTCTAGATTAGTAATTATGAGAAGGAACTCGAAGAAATGAAGCACATGACTAGACAAGAATTTGTTGCTTCCATTAGAAGGTACACACATATATAATAGGAGATTCTGCTTGCAGGCTTTGGAATTAGACAAGAATGATATATATATATATATATATATATATATATTAATGTGTTTATAATGTTACATATCAGGAAGAGTAGTGGTTTTTCAAGGGGTGCATCCATGTATCGTGGAGTAACGAGGTATTTTATTATCAAAATGAACAGCGCTCCATGCATGATCTTCTCCTTCTCTAACGAACGTGAATCTTTTATACAGGCATCATCAGCATGGCCGATGGCAAGCGAGGATCGGCAGAGTTGCAGGAAACAAAGATCTTTACTTAGGAACTTTCGGTAAGTTTCTGATTTCCCCATAAATAAACTGAACCTAAATTGTGCTTAATGATCACAATTTGTTTACCAAAATACAGGCACCGAGGAGGAAGCTGCAGAAGCTTACGACATTGCAGCGATTAAATTCCGAGGACTTAATGCAGTGACGAACTTTGACATGAATCGGTACGACGTCAAAGCAATTCTCGAGAGCAATACGTTGCCGATCGGAGGAGGAGCTGCTAAAAGGCTAAAGGAAGCTCAAGCACTCGAATCAACGAGGAAACGCGAAGAAATGATCGCTCTTGGTTCGAGTTTCCATTACGGAAGCTCGAGCAGTAGCAGCCTACAAGGCTACCCTTTAATGCAAGCCACATTTGATCATCAACCTCAACCGTTGCTAACACTACTGAACCACGACATCAACTCTCAATATGCAAATGAAACCTCCACGTTTCACCAGAATTACATCCAAAGGCAGCTCCAACTGCACCAGCAGCAATCCGCCGGGTTTTATAACCTGCAGCAGTCGAGCCAGAGTTCCCAATTTTACAACAGTTATATTCAAAACAACCCGGCTTTGCTTCACGGGTTGATGAACATGAACTGCTCTTCCCCCTCCGTGGTCGAAAACAGTGGCGGCGGTTGCTCGAGTGGGAGTTACAGCGGCGGAGTGTATCTGGGTACGGCAGGAACCACGGTGGCAACAACCGAAGAGCTGGGACTGGTCAAGGTTGATTACGACATGCCAGGGAGCAATGGCGGCTGGTCTGGTGAGTCCATTCAAGGCTCGAATCCCGGTGTTTTTCCAACATGGAATGACTAACAACACAGTTAAAGGGTCGATGTTTTTCCAAGACAGATCAAAATCATTGTTTCTGTTTTGAACTAACAACCGTTTAATTTTTCAATGCAGAAAAAAGGGCTTATTGACTTAGGTTTCTCGTTGATAAAAAATGGCCTTTTGTTTGTTTCACTTTTTGTTTCGGGTTGATGTTCTTGCTACAAACTTCTTATATATGGAGTTTTACCTAATGATCCTAATTCCAATTTAATTGGATATGTTTAGGGTTTAAATATGGTACAATGGATAATTATTCCTATTAACATTTTCCTCCATTTATTTGTTGCTTAGTAAATTAATTTTGAGGTTATTGTTCAACATTTACCACACAAGGGCTAATAGAAATTTTATTAACCAATGATACATCAATTCATCCCGTTTTATTTCATGGCCACTATTATTTAGTAATTATGAGTGTAGCTATGGGATAACTACATGTTTAATTATTAATGTTGAAAAATAAGTACATGTGGTCAAAAAATAGGATCATCCATCCTAAGCTGCTATATTTTTTAAGACTATGGCTAATGCGTTAGAGAGGATTGAAATTTGGATATCTAAATACATGCATGTTTTGCAACTATGGCTGCTCCAAATCATCTGTTTTTGCCTTCGTATGGTATTCTTTACATACATAGATTTTTAAAATAAAAATCCCGAAGAGAATTTGTTTTAAGATATTTTAAAAGAAATTGATAATCAAGAATAAATATTAAAGACCCACGAGAAGTTCTTGGGAGAACACCGCTAGTAACAAGTTGCTTGGTAATGCACTTTTTGTTGGAAATGTAGGTCCATCCATATATAATTTATTTTCATAAACATCTCACATGATCCTATTATTCAACACCTACCTGCCTAAACCTATTCTGCAATTCCCTCTTTCACTGCAAATATATGTTGCAGTCAATAACCTATTGTTATTTACCATGCAAAGACAAAAGGCATTTCTCATCTTTCACGGGATGGTGCTTTTAATTGTTGTTTGACTGCTAGAACTTTGGGGTTTTTTTTTTTGTATAAATACAGGGAATGGGGACTCACATGTTGCTCTATCCTTCAATGAATTCTTTTTAGCTTTCTGGGTTTTTTTTGTTGATAAAGTTTGAGAATTTCAACTTCTGATTCAAAGAAAAAGAAAATGAAGGGATTTGCTCTGTTTCTAGCCATTGGTGTTTTCTTACTGCGTGGGAGTGTTGTGAGTAGAGAGTGTACGAACATCCCAACTCAGCTATTGTCACATAGTTTTCGTTACGAGCTGTTGAAATCTAATAACGAGACATGGAGACATGAGATGTTTTCTCATTACCACTTAATCCCGAACGATGACTCTGCTTGGTCTGGTTTGTTTCCGAGGAAGAATTTGAGAGAAGAAGATGAATTAAGTTGGTCGCTGACGTATCAGAAAATGAAGCACCCTGGTCGTTTCAACTTGGCTGCAGATTCTTTGAAAGAGGTCTCGCTGCATGATGTTAGATTGGATTCGAATTGGATTCATTGGCGAGCACAGAAAATCAACTTAGAGTACTTGATGATGCTTGATGTGGATGATTTGGTGTGGAGTTTTAGGAAAACTGCTGGTTTGCTAACTCCTGGGAAGCCATATGGATGATTTCGTCGGTAATCGACGGCTTTAGTTCGATTTCGTCGGTAATCGACGGCTTTAGTTCGATTTCTTTGCTATTTATATTGCCTCTCAATGCAAATGATTATTGTTATTATGAATTTAGTTCCTTTCTGCTGCTGTTGAACATAGATTAACTATGTTTTGAATGTTGAAGGGCATTACTTGAGTGCAACGACACAGATGTGGGCTAGCACTCACAATGACACTATCAAAGAGAAGATGTCCAGTCGTGTCTGTTGAAAGTCAAACAATACAACAAACTTAAAATCAAGTTTGGCACCGCCAAAGGGGTTTTTCAAAGAGGTTTGGCACCTACTACGCATGGTTTTAAAGTTGCAGATTTTTGTTGATTTTTGTAATGGGCAAATTACACTTTAGTCATTGCTCTTTAGGGTATTTTCAAATATTAGTCTCTAAGCTTCAACTATAAATACCCTAGCACATTTAGCTTCAACATCATCCCAAAATCATTTCTTTCTCTCAATACTAGAGAGCTTTCTTGTAGTAGTGAGTGTTTTGTAAACACCTGTAAATTTTCTCTCTAGTAAAAGATCTGCAGCAGTCCGGAGACGTAAGCACAATTGGATGAACTCTATTATCAATTTTCAGGTATTATTTTATCGTTTTATTTCGTTCTATAGTTATAGAGAAATTATTTGTTACTCGTTTATTTCCCAACAACTGGTATCAGAGCTTTTGGTTGTGAATTTTGTCAATTTTTTGTGAGGTTACTATTTACGTGAATAGTGAATAGTAAAATTTTGTCGGCGATACGAATTTGTCGACGGAGGTGTTCCTATACACAGTGGTTCATAAGAATTGTCAGAAACGATCTAAACGAAGCCAGATTCGAGTGGGAGCGATGACTGCAGACAAAGGGAAGGTGAAAATTGAAAAGTTCATTGGTGCGGACTTTGGCTTTTGGAAGATGAAGATCGAAGATTTTCTGTACCAGAAAAATCTATATCAACCCCTCTCAGGAAAGCAATCAGAGGGCATGAAGAATAAAAACTGAACTCTTCTCGACAGACAAACCCCCGGAGTTATTCGACTGACGTTATTCTGCAATGTTGCTTTCAACATAGCAAAGGAAAAGACCACGATGGGTCTTATGGTGGCTCTCTCTAATATGTATGAGAAGCCATCAGCCTCAAACAAAGTTCACTTGATGAGGCGATTATTCAATTTGCGGATGGCGGAAGGGGCATCAGTGGCACAACACCTAAATGAACTCAACACAATCACAACTCAGTTGAGTTCAGTGGAAATTGAATTCGATGATGAAGTTCGAGCTTTAATTCTCTTATCATCTCTACCAGACAGTTGGAATGCTACTGTTACAGCAGTCAGCAGCTCGTCGGGAAACAGCAAATTAAAATTCGACGATGTTCGGGATCTGGTATTGAGTGAAGAAATTCGACGAAGAGAATCGGGTGAAGCATCAACCTCCTCAGCCTTGCACACAGAGTCTAGAAGGAGAACTTCAGAAAGAAATTCAAATCGCGACAGATCAAAATCCAGACGGGGAAAATCTAGAATGGGAAAGAAAGATTTTACTTGTTATAATTGTGGCAAGAAGAGTCACTTTAAAATAGATTGTCAAGCATTGAAGAAAGATACCGGCGCACAGGATTCTGCCAACATGACAGAGGAGACAGGTGATGCCATGATTCTAAGCGTAAACAGTCTTGATTGAATCATGGATCTTGGATTCAGGGGCATCTTTCCACTCCACCCCATGCCGAGAAATCATGGAGAACTATATCAATGGTGATTTTGGGAAGGTTCATCTAGTTGATGATGAAACCTTGAAGATCGTCAGAAAGGGAGACATACGATTAAAGCTGCCAAACCAGACCACCTGGACGCTGAAAGGTGTGAGACATATTCCTGGTCTCAAAAGAAATTTGATTTCTGTAGGACAGCATGATGGAGAAGGATATAATACAACCTTTTCAGGCTGTGAATGAAAGATTACCAAATGAGCACTCTTTATTGCTCGTGGTAAGAAGATTGGTATTCTCTATGTAACCGCAAATTTAGAGAATATCATTACAATAGCAGATGCTGATGGAAAATCAAACCTATGGCACTAAAGGCTTGGCCGTATAAGCGAGAAAGGGATGAAGACACATTTGTCAAAAGGGAAGCTACCGGATCTAAAGAATGTAGATGTCGTACTATGCGAGGATTGCATCTTTGACAAACAAAAGAAAGTCAGCTTTACAAAGATTGGTAAGACACTCAAGGCTAAAAAGTTAGAGTTGGTTCATACTAATGTATGGGGACCATCTCCAGTTCCATCTCTTGCAGGCTCATTATATTATATCACCTTCATCGATGATTCAACAAGGAAGGTGTGGGTTTATTTTCTGAAGAAGAAATCAGAAGTCTTTGATACCTTCAGAAAATGGAAGGCCATGGTGGAAAATGAGACTGGTCTGAAAGTCAAGCGGTTGAGGTCTAACAATGGATGAGAGTACAGAAATAGGAGATTCAGAGATTTCTGCGCAAACAATGGGATCAAGATTGAGACAACAGTTCCCATGACACCGCAGCAGAATGGCGTAGCAGAGCGCATGAACAAAACTCTGAATGAACGTGCCATAAGCATGAGGATACATGTCAGATTGCCCAAATTTCTATGGGCTGAAGCTATCAACATTGCAGCTTACCTGATCAATCGTGGGCCCTCAGTTCCCTTGGATGGTAGAATACCAGAGGAAGATTAGAGCAAGAAAGAAATAAACCTTTTACACTTAAGAGTGTTTGGTTGTATTTCTTATGTACACATAAATTCTGCTGAAAGAAGTAAACTTGACGCCAAGTCCAACAAATGTGCCTTTGTTGGTTATGGTGGTGATGAGTTCGGTTACCGATTTTGGGACTACGAAAATCGAAAGATCATCAGAAGCAGATATGTCATTTTCAATGAGAATGTGATGTACAAAAAAAGGTCAACCATAGAATCAAGTAGATCAAATATCGAAGCTGAAACAAATAAATTTGCTGAGTTCGAGGAGAGTTCTGGAAATGATGTTCAGATCAGTCCTGAAGCAGTTCAAGAAAAACCAGGCACACTAGAACTAAGACGCTCCTCCAGAATTCCTAAACCAACACAGCGTTATTCGCCTTCTTTGCACTACTTGTTGCTGACTGAAAATGGTGAACCAGAATGCTATGATGAAGCAATACAGGTGGAGGATTCAGTCAAGTGGGAGTCTTCCATGAAAAATGAGATGGACTCGTTTATGTCAAATCAGACGTGGGAATTAGTTGAATTACCACCATGCAAGAAAGCGCTCCATAACAAGTGGATTTACAGGATCAAAGAAGAGCACGATGGGAGTAAATG